GAAGCACATGCCAGCCTGCTACCATGTTAATTAGCTGACCGCTCAACACAACAGCATCTGCTACAAGAAGCGCTGCATGCTTACATTCTGGTTCCTGGAGAGCAAGTCGCCTTGATGAGGCTTGGGCAGATGGCTCAGATTACAAGGTCGAGCATGGCCACACAACTGTTTCAACTCTGCTTGTTTTACTCAACAACTTCAATTGTGCAAGTTTGAATAAACAACTTAACCGTGCAAACATCAGTCTGTGTGTACCTGGAGTGAACTGTTCTTCGGAGCTGCATGGCGGGGCGGGGTTTGACAGGCAGGTCTTAGTGCAGCGCTCCGACTCCCATATGGGCTGGTAAGTGGAGAGCGGAGGGTCTCCCTCTGGGTCCAGGAAGGGATTCATGGACAAAACAAGGGTCATCTCTCTCTCCTAATCAGGTCTGGAACAAACAGAATAAAAGAACGGCCGAGCTCAGCCTCCACTTATAAAGACATCACATCAACTTGCGCAGTATTTGGAAACAGAATGATAAACTGAGTTTGGTTTATCCGCTATTAGCGGTTAATAATGAACCGGTTTCCATAAATCTCACAAGCGCTCTGCATATGTTCCCCTAATGACGCAGTAAATGTTAACAAGCTGTTTATCTGATGCTGCCAAATACATTGATTTTGCGTGGAGGAGTAACCAGCTTCTGTTCGAGCTGCATGACACATCCGAACGGCAATAATGGCGAGCGCTAGAAATCGGCAGATGGTTGGCAGCTCCGTTATATGCGCAGTTCTGTAAAGCGAGGGACAGATGGAGAAATGACACCCACTCGCACCATGAATTCCCTATTGATTAGCTGGTAGGAGACTTGGCGAGATGTTTGACACCAATTTGTTCGGTGAAATGGATCCCACACATCAAATCACACTGGGAAGATTGTGTCAACAACGTGATAATCTAGGAAGCGAAGGAGATGACATGCGCGGTGCCAGCAGGACCGGAGCACAGGGCATACGATTTGACAACATGTTTCCAACAGGCACTGCGCTTATTTGATTCTTATTAGTGCTGAATTAAGTGAGAACAGAACGAAATATTTCACTCTGTACCACCTTACGTTTGAAACTGAAGTGACGCCGCTAAGACACCAAGATATTACTTGGCAGCGAGCAGCAGTAACCTGCCAACTGAGCTTTTTCAATCTGAAAACAGAGCCCTACTGTGAAGATGCCGAGTGGCCCGACAGCCAAAATCTGTCTGTGATCCTGTGAATCTGCAGAGAGACGCCGAATCGCTCTTTTGATCACAGCGAATGGCTGTCACATTTGGTTCACTGTTGATATTTTCATGCAGAATGCAGAGCCAGCTGTTTGACTTATCAGCTGCCGGACCTCCTTGTCACCACCTTTCCTCCTCAAAGCTTCTCCCGCCCCTCCTCCACCTGCCCGCTCCAACAGATATCATCGCCCACAATCCATCCTGACAGACCAAACTGAGGCGACACCATCTCAGCCTCACCCCTGTTGGGTAGCTGATTAAAATGTCCGCTTCAATAAGCTCCCAGTTTTGCTTGGCTGAACAGTTTTATTTCTCTGTGCAGCTTTTCTAGCGTTTGCCTTTAACTGACTAATCAGGCACACCTAAAGCCAACGAAACATCAGCTCAGACAGAGCTGCTCTCACCAATCCAATCTACTCGTCCCCGGGGAGTAATGGATTACACGCAACGGCCGTGCATACAGCAGACATGCTTTAAAACTCAACATCGCCAATCTTGTGCTATTTTTTTTCTACACCACTGCAGTTGTTGCAGCAATGTAGTTAATTTTATGCTCCATTTTATCCTCACTGAACAAGACCCCCTGTGAGCTACGACCTCATGACAGGATTTACACGTCGCTGCGATTGCACGAGATGCAGCATCGGAAGAAATAGCCAATGAAAGTGAAGTGAATATTTAGGAAATGAAGCTGATACAGATACACGCAAAAAAAGAACAACAAGTGGTTAAGCTTGCAATGGAAAAATGTAAATGCAAACATCAAGAGAGAACAAAACAAACAAAAACACTGTGTTTGGCAATCCACTGAATTACTGCCACTGCATGAAACTCAGCCTCTTTGCAAAGCTG